CCCTACCACAAAGGATGAGAGAATAACTAGAGATCTAGAGAGGAGAAGAGCATCTTGAGGTCTTGTATTAAGGTGTCGCTTGAGAGGGAGGCCATAGAAGGAAGATGATGGCTTATCTCTATGTATAAGCTATGTATTCTCCATTTCTTTGTCTTAGTGAACTATTGATTGATTCCCTCCCGTGGACGTAGATCCAGTTGGATCGAACCACGTAAACGATCTGTGTTTGCCTCGCGACAGATTTGGTGGCAGTGGAAGCTTTGATCGACTGGATTCGCATCGCATGTTGTGCGGTTCGGCGAGACAGAGGAGGAACAGTCCGCTAGCGAGGGCCGAAAATTTGCGACAGGACTGCCAACAGAGGATTTCGAAACAGGAGTTCGGTCTTGCGAGCAGCTCGGCCAGAGGAAAGAGGCGGAGATCGCGCAGAGAAGGGTTCAGGGAGTTCTCTGTTCGGGAGTTCGCAAAGCAGGACCTGAGCAGTTTGGCGAGGCGCGACGACTCTGGAGAGGCAGTTATTCTCATGCGAGACGCAGAGGAGTGCTTGCGGAAAGGAGTCGCTGGACGCAGAGGAGTGTCTGCGGGAAGGAGACGCGAGCACAGAACAGGAGGTTTTCTCCGGTGAACAGGCTTGATTGCCAGAAGGGATCAGAGCTCTCTGTTCGGTTGGCGAAGGCAGTGGAGTTCACGGGGAGAAGGTAAGAAATTTGGCGATAATTTCTTGGACAACAAGGTATTAAAAGGCAAGTTTAGGCTGAAATTTTTTTTTTGTTATATAATAGTATAACGTTTTGGTGATTTCAGCTTAGTTCTTGTAAGGGCAGCAAATAGAATTCATTGGAAGAAATCCTAGCCACGACAATGAGTTCCGTCAACGGGAAGAACGACTTCGGCCTATGGAGAGTAAATATGAGAGCTCTATTGGTTCAACAGGGTGTTGCAGAAGCCTTGTAAGAGTCGGCGGCATTGCCGGCCGACATGACCGAGAAGGAGAAGATCGACATACTGGACAAGACCCACAGTTTGATAATCTTGAGCTTGGGCGACAAAGTTCTGAGAGAGGTGTCGAGGGAGACAACAGCTCAAGCACTTTGGGTCAAACTCGAGGTACTCTACCTGACAAAGTCTCTTGCTAATAGGCTCTTTCTGAAGCAGCGCCTATACTCCTTCAAAATGCATGAAGACAAATCCATCTCAGAGCAGATCGACGAGTTCGACAAGATCATCGATGACCTCGAGAACATCTACTTCAAGATGGACGATGAAGACAAGACACTGTTGTTGCTAAACTTTATTCCTAAGAGCTACGAGCATTTCAAGGATGTGATGCTCTATGGAAGGGTGCAGATTATTACTTTGGAGGAGGTTTAATCTCTGATTAGAGCCAAAGAACTTCAGAGGAAGCATGATAGAGATAAGGAAGTCAGCGGAGACAGTCTTATTGTTAGAGGAAGATCAGATAAGAAAGATTCAAGAAATGGTCAGTACAGATCAAGGTCAAGCAAGGATGACAGGAATCAGTCATCAAGAGGATCTTTAAAGTGCTATCATTGTCACAAGGACAGTCATTTCAAGAGGAACTGCCCAGACAGGAAGAATAAGTACAAAGAAGAGCCAAAAGAATCAGGAGAAGCAAGCGTAGTCTCTGATGACTATGATTCTGCTGAGACCATGGTGATCACAAAATCTGAATCCAGTAAGGAGTGGATCCTCGACTCAGGGTGTTCTTTTCACATGTGTCCTCACAAAGACTGGTTTGAGACATTGCAACAAGAAAATGATGCGTCCGTTCTACTGGGAGACAATAAAGCTCACAGGGTTGTTGGAAGTGGATCAATCAGGATAAGGATGTCATGTACGTACCAGAGCTCAAAAGAAATCTGATTTCTTTTGGTACGCTGGAGTCAAGCGGATGCTCGTTCAAGGCAGAGAATGGCTGCATCAGAGTAACCAAAGACCCTCGTGTCGTCATACAAGGAGTTAGGAAAAATGGGTTATACTCTCTTATCGGAAGAACCGTGATTGCTAAGTCCATGTACTGTTTGGACTTAGCAAACTCAAGAAGGGCTGAGGGCCCCTCAGGGGCCAGGTGGAGGAAATATTTACTTCGAAGCTTCTCAATTGAGGGTCAAGGTGGAGAATTGTTATTTTGACCCCCAATTAATGAACTAA